GAGAGAGAGAGAGAGAGAGAGAGAGAGAGAGAGAGAGACCCAAAGCATTTCTTTCCCTTTCCCCTAGACACCCCCATCCCCATTTTTTTGTGGGGTGCCGGCAGCGCACGGGGAGGAGGCGGGGGAGGGGAAGGAGGAGGGGACCAAGAGCTGGGAAGGCAGGAGGTGGGGTGGAGAGTAGCTGAGGAGGAGGGATGGGGAGGAAGGAAGGTGAATACTGCTTTGCAACCAACTTGAGGAGTTACAAAGTGGAACCACTTTCCAATTCGGTCGGGGTTCCCCAGGAAGGGACAGGTCTTTAGGAGGAGGGGGCCGAGGGACGGGGTGGGGGTTTCACCTGAGCCTGCTGGGGCTGCTCCTCCCTCCCGCCGCGGCCTCCCAGCCCCGCGCCTTCCCACTGCCTCCGGACCACATCGGGCTTCGCTGCGCAGAGCCCCAGTCGCCACCAAATGAGCGAGCGAGTCTGGGGACGAACCCTGGGGCCGCACTGTTGGTCTACGTGTCTGTCAGTCTGTCTGCCTCTTCTGCCGCCGTCAGAGGGACACCTCTGCTCCCCGCCCCCTTTCCCCTTACCGGAGAGAATCCTAGCGGGCGGAGGGGGAGCTGAGTAAGGGAACGACTGCCGCCGGGAGGCTGTCGCGGATCCCCGCGCCTCCCCCCACCCCCATCTCAGGGCTTCTTAGCGGTCCACCCCCCATCACACCCCCACACCCGCACGCTGTCTCCCCACCTCCACCCCCGGTTGAGGCAAGCACACCAGTAGCCTCCTGAACTAGGAAGATGGGGAACGACTAACATGAGAGTCCGTCACTGAAGTTGTCCCTGGTTGACAAACCTGGTGTCTCTGACCCTGGCCCATTGTCTGGACACTCAGGATTCTGGGGCTGGAACCGACTTTCAGGGGACATCATAGCCTCAGAACCAGAGAGGAGAGCCTCTCTGTTTTCCCCTTGGGGGGCTTCGAGAGGACACCGGCAACCAGCGGCGAGAGAGCCCTCTCGTCTGTTCTCGGGTGGAACTAAACCTGAACCCTGGCGGGACCCGCTGACCGGGAGGGGGCGAATACCCTGGCGCTGGCAGCCTAACAGGCGGGAGGCTGGGCTGAAGCTCTCCTCCGCCCCGGAGCTCAGCCATGCAAAAGTGCACTTGCTTCCCCGGGAATAACCAAATATCTTTGTTTAAAGTGGCTGCGTAAATGGCCAGTCGCTTTGTGGCCACGCTGGATATTAGTAGATGAGGATCATTCTACTTCAATTGGGCACCTCTCATCCTGCGAGCAAGAAACTGCTTAGGAGGAAGTGGGTTTCCTGTCTGAGCGTTCCCAGGCTTCAAGTGTGAGCCCCGCGCCTTGAGGGTCCTTGGGCGCCTGGCGAGGGGGAGCTGTGGGCTGCGCTCCCCAGCGGGGCCGGGGGCGTCAGATGCGCGGCTCTGGCGGTCCGGGATCTGCAGCCGAGTTGACTACCCGCGGCATGGCGCAGATTTTGAGACCAACTTAGACTTTCCCTCTTGGATTTTAAACACTTTCGTTGTTTGTTTTTGTTTTGCTTTTTCTTTGGTGGTTTTAGCTTTCTCACTGCGCCGGGGACTGAGAGGGCGGAGCGCTTTCCGGACCGACTGATGCCTCCGAGATACTTCGGAGGCCAGTCAATGAAGCTCCTCGAATTTGGTTTTTGTTCCTTGTTGTATTTTTCCCTCCTTGTAGTGAGGGAACTCCCAATAATGAACAAGCAGGTTTTATCTACTTAATTCAGCAGGTTAAACTCCTTTTTCATTAATAACAATTATAGTAGTGAAAGTTATTCTGTTTGCTTTTTAAGATCTCCATCCTCTCCTTGAAGAGTGTTCTGTACTCCTTCAATACAAAGCCAACTTCTATACTAACATTCGCTTTCCTCACCACCTACCTCATCCCCCAACTCACCCCCAGACCTCCCACCTGGACCCTCGTTTTCACAGGACCCCCACAGTGGCTTTGGGGCAGGCAACCCTGCGTTTTCGTGCAGAGATGCGCTTGCAACGCGGGTGGCTAAAGACAGGTGCAAAGCTGGGCCCTGCACCGGTCTTTCCCAGGGGCTTCTCTGGGGGGCGCTCTCAGGAAGAACTCAGACCTCATCAATTGTGCTTTGGTCAATGTAATGTCTAAGGTGTAGGAAGGGAGGCGTCGTGGGGTTCAAGTGCAAAAGTTCCGGTAAAGCGGAAAGCGGATTTTGACTGTAGGCGCAACACAGATGGGCCCAAATCCAGAATGGGGTCTTATCTGGAAGGTGGAGTGGGTTTCCCAGTTACTCTCTCTCTCTCTCTCTCTCTCTCTCTCTCTCTCTCTCTCTCTCTCTCTCTCTCTCTCTCTCTCTCTCTCCTCTCCATTATTTCATACGTGGTAAATGTAGGAAACACCAAGCGTCCAATGTCGTGCACCTCTCCCTCAATGCCATTTAGAAATGGTGATAATTCTTCGACATTTTTTTAATGAGATTCAAATAAGATCCAACATATCAAAGTGCTTTCAAAGCCTTGACATTTTTAAAGCTCATTGCCAGAACCCCAGATTTCTGTAGTTATGAATATACCCTCGTTAGGTTGCCGGACCTGAGTGAAGAGTTTGATGACTCTTCCACAGCCCCGGGGTTGTGCCTCCTCAACTTTCCTCCCTGGGCAGTTTAGCTCCAGCCCCGCAGCAGGCCCTGGACGCATGTGGCTGGCAGCTTCTCCGGCTAAGCCTCCAGTAGAATCAGGGTCTCAGATCTTGAAGATACCCTACTCCTGAGCCACCTGGACTCGAAGCAGGCGGTGGGTGGGATTGGGGCGCAAAGCAAGAATTAGAGCTCAAGGGGTGGAGCGGACAACAGCTTCACTCTCTCCCTGAAATTAGGACTACTGACGTGGCAACAGCCAGCTCCAGCCGAGTCTAGACCTCACCTGAGACTTTCCTGCTGGCGCCCGGCATCCCGGGCCCCAGGCTTCTCTCCCACGTGTGCTGCAGGTTCATATACACCCACCGCCTTCTCCCCTCCCCCCCCCACCCGCTGCACTGCTAAGGATAAGCCCAAAGACCCCGGGGGCCTTGTGGGGAAAAGGCAAATATGTGTATCTCTGGGCTTGTCCAAGCAAAGACCTGTGAGTCCTTTCTCTGGCCCCAACACCCTTTTCTGACCAAAGAGCATCCTTTCTTCCCATCTCCTCCCTGACTCATCCTGAATAGGGCAGATTCGAGTTAAATCGGTGTTTTCTCCACGGCGGCCCGGTTATAGCCGAGAATCCAGTCTACTTCTCGCGTCCCGGCCCTCGCTTCTTCCTTGGCCCCGCAACTAACTTGCTCCCGAGTGGAGTAGATGCGATGGGGAGCCGGCAGAGCAGAGCCCAACGCTGGCCTTTCCTCGAGTTTCCCAGACGCTTTCTCCAACGACTGTTGGGCTGCACCGCCCTATCCTGCACTGCAATCCTCTGGGGTGGACATGGGAGCATAGGGCGCTGCCTATGAAGATCAGACTCCCTCAGAAGAAGAGAGTAATGCCCTCAGGCCTTACGGGTGGGGTGCGAGAGCGCTATTCTCTAGGGTCAAGCCTTACAGTTTTGGTCTTGGGCACACTGACTCCCTGGCAGCAGGTCGGCCAGGAATGAAGGAGCTGCGGAGGCACAGGTCCAGGCCCAGACCTAGAGGCGCCGAAAGACCATCAGCCTTTACACACAGTGAGGCCAAAGGGAAATTCCCTTCTTTCCCTCCAGTGTCACTTTGAGAGACAAGAACAGAGAGATTTTATAGAAGGCTAGTTCTGTAACTCCAATGGGTGGGATGTTGAGGAGGGAAACACCAGTCTTACCTCCCTGCTACCCTTCCCTGACTTGCTTTTTCCAACTCTTTTATAATCCTTCATATCTCCCTAGGGCAATAAGTGTGTTTCCTGTTGGTATTGTTTTGCTCAACTTTTATCAAAATTCATGATTCATTCAACAAATATTTATCAGGCACTGTACTGGGTTAGAAAACTCAGCCTTCAACAATCTTGGTGAAATTACTCCCCATATGGAATTTACATGTTAACAATAAATCTTCCCAGTAATATGTAGTTTGTGACAAATGTTACTGAATATCCAATCCAGATAGGGTTGTAATGAAGTTTTGTGTGTGTGGGGGGGGTGCACTATTTCCCAATTTTCTAGTGCTCCCTCCAAGGTTGTGGGATGAACCCATGAGTAAAAGTTGGAAATCTTGGAGTTTGAGCCTTTGCTTTACTATTTTTCAATTGTGCAGTATAACTCTTGTAGGTTCCCATCATATCCTGGAGCAACCTCCATCACAAGCAGATTAAACTATTGTGTTCTCTGACTCCCGTCGTCCAGGACAGACCCTTGTCTCAAGAAATGCTAAAGCCCCCAGTGCCTCAAGAAATATTATGGAAACAAAGCTGTTTCCTCACCTGCAAAAATGGTCGTAACCTGCCCTGTGTATCTTATTGGATTGTTGTGCTAGGGCCTCAGATAATTCAGGAAGAAATCCTGTGCCTGAGTTTGTCCAACAGAAGTTCTTCCTTCTGATTCTATATTTTGGATTTAAAGAAACAGTAAATCTCTGACCCTCTATTAGAGGGAAGCACTTGCAACCCTCTTTTGCTCCAGCAGGTCTCCTTTGGCTGTGGGCTCCACTCTGGGCTGAGGTGGGCTCAGGAATTCTGTCGAGGCAACCGCTCCCAGTCCAAGTCAGGCATGAAACCGGGACCTGGGGTTGATACTTCCCATTCCGGAGATCCAAGGAGCGCCTTTAAAAGATATCTTCCTGACTTCTGCTCCCTGAAA